CATATGAAATATAAAATACAAAGAATTTTTCATAATGTTGTTAGAAAAATTAATTTGTAAAGTTTTAAGGGTTAATTTTAATACTATGTCTAAATTTGCCCGAGTTTTGCATAAAATTACAAAATATCCCCAAAAATATTCTATAGTGATATTATCTATGTCTAAAATAATATGCATTTTAGTCTGTTCTTATATGCATTGAACGTTCATCAAAATATAAAAAGGCCAGGTTTGATCGGTTAAACTAAATCAAAACCCAAATATGAAAGTATATCACAAATATAAATCTCATCAGAATTTTCCCCAAATATTTTAAGATTTATACTATTTTTTCACAAAAAAATTTCCTTAGGCACCTCATCTTATATTTTCAATTGAAATTAATGTATTATTTATGCTTATCAGCATTTAGACAATTCAATTTATTATAATTATTTGGAGGATCTTGACCAAACATTTATTGGGGTTTGAAGCTCCTATGATAGATCAAATGAGGGGGCGAGAAAGGCACATTGAAAACTTGGCTAGTGTTTCACATTCCAAAGAGTTGAGATTCAAAATGAGCATATTTCTATGTTAAAATGTGACAATTCAAAGGAGACCGCAAGTGATAATGAAAGCAAACTTAAGGATCATACATTGTATGAACGTCAGTTATGAACACTTCTACTACTAAAAAATAGTTTATTGTTAAAACGGCCTAATGGTTTACAGATGGAGGACCTATAAGGGAGCCGCAATTTTCATGTATATTATCAGATTTTTTTGAAGCTTGAAAAAAAAAGTCAGCAGATGAATATAAGCTCAACGGAGAAGAATACATAACCTAAGATATTGGTACCTATTGTTCCTAATAAAAAAATCTATTAATTTTATTCTAAAACTATGGCAGAAAAAAGTTCTGCTCAAAGTCAGAGTCATACATATTTTATGAACTGTAATAAAAAAAAATCTGTAATTATATATACAGTATATATGCGCATCAAGAAGGACATTAATCGATAAAACCTTTCCATAACGACTTGCTGTGGAAATCCCTGAATATGAGAGTAGGAAACAAACACACATTATTCCAATAGCTTCATTTGATCATCCCAGATGCAGATAAACAGAAAAGCACACTAATGGTGTAATCCATTTCCAGTTCAAACCTTCTGCTGCCAGTGCTAGATTTCCAATTTGACCTGTGTGCTTTGAAACACACACACATTTGTAAGGTTTACAAATCACTGCTCTTAAACTTTTCTTTCCTTTATTTTAATTTGATTAAAATAAAAAGTAGCCTAATACTGTGGGCAAAATCAAATATATATATATATAACCCACTTTTCTTGTGTACTTCACATAAAATAGACAGAAAAAAATGCCTGTTAAAGACTGATAACACACAATATAATTATTGGATGTACATATATAAAATGACAATGCATAGTTGGTTTATCTGTCCTCAGTCATGACCCAACCAATCAGTGACTTCACTCAATCAGAGTTGCATTAAATCATACTACAGGGGTTCTTCATTTTGTTAATGGCAGGAGGCAATCCACTTCATTGGTACATACTGCCAGCTAATGCATATGATGGTGAGACTTCATTAAACAGAATCCTTTTATTTATTTTAATGTAAGTATTTAGTTTGATTCAGTGAATTGTAAGGATAGTTCTGTTTCATTAATGTTATTAAAATATTGTCTGACATTTCCTTTTGCACCATTAAATGTGCAAAGGCCACCTAGAAAATATGTCATGTGTCTTTCCGCAGTGGGTATGTGTAAAAAAATAAAACAAAGTATCTGCCCCTGTAATGGAAATCTTAATGATGTCCAAAAACTGACAAGTTCAACATTTAAATATTTACCATATTGGCATGACATGTAGCAATCTGTAATACATTTTCAACCAATGGACCCAATCTAGAAACAATTTGTGTGCATCAGACATCTTATGTAAAGTGGTAATATAATCGATTCGAGAATCATGTCAGCACTTTTAAAAGAGCTTGGGCACCTGTGGCTATAACATGTTTCACTTTGTATATGCTAAATTTAATCAAATTAATGACTGTGAAAATGTCCTGTGAGAAATATTTGCACTCTTTTTTAGGCCATACTTTTTTTTCTCCAGGCCTTTTGCCTGTCTCTTTAAGAGACAGTGTTTAATGTTTTGTTTTGGAAAAATACAGTCTAGTTCTAAAGGTTGGCCAGCCCAGCATACATCTGAGAAACAGAGGGTTTGAAACTATGTTCTAATTTTTGCAAGAATTAATTAATTAAAGTATGACTATTATTGCATTGTTGCCCAAATTTATTCAGGTTAATATTTTAATTATATATTTAAAACCCCTTACCAATTTAGATATATCAAAATTAAATTATTTACTGTCCTACTTCATGACCTTTATCTAACTATTTACTTTTTTTTGCTAGATATTTAAAAACTTACAAACATAGTAATTTCTACAAACTGACTTACAGTGTAACCTGATTTGCAAGCTGAAATAACAGATGGATAGGCAGGATTAGATAAAAGTTGGGTATTTTATTTTCATTATAAGTTTATTCCTAGAACTGAAAAATAGTAATTTTATTGCTTGTTACACTAAGACATCCAAGTATAAAGAAAGGTGTTTGTTTATTAAACTGGATAGTTTCAAAATTACCTGGGAGACTTTTCCTTTGATAGTTTTGAAAATAGAACCATAGTCTCTCTGTTGTGTATTGATCAGAGTAGGAATTCCCTGAAATAAAGAACAGACAGTTTAAAAATCGTTAGTTTTGGCTAATAATATATGGATTTGTTTTTTCTTGGCTTAAAAAATCTTAACATTTAAAGCCAAGCAACTTAATGCAATTCTGTTTATGAGATTCCGTGTTTGCTCAGCAAGTGATTTTTAACTAAAACCAGAATCCGGTTGCTTACCGTGCGGGTAATGAGAGGTTTTCCTTGTAAGAAGCGTGTAAGGAACTGTTGTTGGATGCGAGGCAGGTCATATTCTGACAATGTCTCATGCCCACGTTCTAAGCTGTACTGGCAGTTGGACAAAACCAGAGGCAGCAGGTCCTTCTCCACATCATAGCAGATCACATGCTGCTCCATGAGGTCATCCAAAGCAACCGTGTAACTGGTAGAGCAAAGACATTGGAATGAAGAGGTTATTTTGTCAAAAACTAATAAACAACATAAATTATGCAAAACTAGTAATTCATTTTAACTAAATAATCTAATGGTTTTCTTTTCTTATGATACAGTTACATTTTATTTTAACTGTTAAACTTTTTGTTTAGTTCTGATGTTTCACATGAAATACTTTTTTGCACCTGCTGTCATCTCCAGTGTGGCGTTCCACAGCATTCACCAGCTCATTCTGCAGTGTCACCAGGTAGCTAACTAGTCCTGTGGCACATAGTCCTGGACCCTGTCGCCGTGGCAAGAGGTATTGTAGCTCACTGTTCTTGTCCAAGTCTTCATTGCAAAATTCCTCCGGGATTTTTAGCTCATCTATTATTCAGAGAGAAAGAAGAACAAGCAGTTTCACACTGGTACAACAGCATGCAAATATTTTGTCTTTATGTAAGAATCAACACAATGCTTTTGAAATTTCAAATTGTGCACATTAAAAAAATCTTTTCCTTGAGGTCTTTATTCCAGCTGATTAAGGCAGTTAGAATTGGAGTAAATTGACCTGAAGTACATAAATGTAACTTTTTAAACTGAAGCTACTGTAAAGTGCCATGATGTAAAATCTGATATACATGTATTTTTATAATAATAAAAATCTTTTATACTTTACGATAAAGTAATGTAGAGTAACTTAGAGTGATGTAAAACTAAATCATGTGAATAAAACAGAGCAATAATCTATCAAATCAATCTTAATCTCATAATTATCTTTCCAAAGTACTATCTTTATCAAAACACAGGGGAAATCTTTATATTTATGCAATGTGCTCTGTTTTAATCATTCCATTAAATAAAACTTTGAACCTTAGTAATGTTATGCAGCTTAGAAGCTGCAGAATGTACAAGCCATTATTTTGAAGTAAGTTTCAGACGGAGTAGGTGTCAGGGTGCTATTTTTTATTAGGTTATTTTTAGTTTCTCTGTAATTTTGTGTCTTTGTGGTATTTTTCTGGAAGTGTTGTGTTTTTGTTAAACTCTCTGTTGCCTCCTTGTGCCAGTTTACTTTCCCCTTGCCCCCATTTTAGTCACTTCTATCCACACCTGCTACAAATAAGCTGATTACTGTTCAGTTACTCTTTGTTGGTTTCTCATTGTTGCTTCATTGGTTTGCTCCCTGTGTGTTGTTTCTAGCGTTTCCTTTTTTTTTTTAGGTTTTCTCTTTTGGATTTTATTAAATCTGCAAGAACCAAATTCTGTTCCAATTTCGATATGCCTCATCTCTGCGTTTGGGTCCTCAACAAACTTCCACCAAACCCTGACAAAAGCTGAACAATGGTGAGGCAGAGTCTCTGGAGTCTGAGGATAGGGACGAAGGAGTGCCTCTGGAGGGTGGCCGGGAGGCCAAAGGCAAGGCAGAGTCTCTGGAGGCTGGTCGTGAGGCCAGAGGCGAATGAGTGCCTCAGAGGATGGCGGTAGGATGCCGATGAAGGAGGGTCCCAGGAGGATGGCTGGGAGGCTGGCGATGAATAAGAGTCTCTGGAGGGTGGCTGCAAGGCCAGCGATAAAGAAGGGTCTCTGGAGGGCGGTCGAAAGGCCTGCGAAGAAGAATAGTCTGTGGAGGGCAGCGGAAACGCCGCCGTCTTAACAGCAGGGACCTTGGAGGCCGCTGTCTCAACAGCAGGAACCATGGAGGCCACCGTCTTAGCAGCAGGAACCTTGGAGGCCATCATCTCAGCAACAGGAACCTTGGAGGCCACCGACTCAGCAGCAGGAACCTTGAAGTCCACCGTCTCAGCAGCGTCTCAACAGCAGGAACCTTGGAGGCCGCTGTCTGCGGCACAGGAGCCTGAGAGGCCGCAGACTGCGGCACAAAAGCCTTGGGGACCACCGACTGTTGCATCGGAGCCTACTGAAAGGCAGCACCACTTGAGACCCACAAAGAGGCAACACAGTTTGAGGCCCATGAAAAGGCGCCACAGCTTGACAGCCACGAAGGGGCTGTGCTACAGATTCACCATGAGAAACTACAGATTATAATGGATTCCTCTGGAGGGTCCTAGAAAACAAGGAGCACCCACAGAGGATTGCCCTCTCCTTGGAATGAAACTTTCACAGAGCTGTGTTTCATAGCATAATCTAACATGGGCTCAGGGGAGCACAGAGTGTGCTCAGGGGTCACAGGACAGCACAGAGCATGCTCAAGGTTCTCTGGAGAGGTTTTGCCAAGGGACTCTGACTCAGGGAAACAAGGGAATCTGACTGAACTGGGAAAAAAGTACTAAAAGGGCCTGATTGTGGTGAGGGAAAACTAAGAGGGTCTGACTGTTGTGAGGGAGAATTAAAAGGGCCTGACTTTGGTGAGGGAGAACTAGGGTCAGACTGTGTTGAGAGATAACAAAGGGTCTGAATGTTGTAAAATAGAACTAAGATCAGTTTATCAACCCTCCAGACCACTCAGGTCTTCTGGCTCCAGCCTGCTCTGCATACCTAGAACCAGAACTAAAC